GAAGAAATATTAGCTATTTTACACTAGTCTTCAATATGAGAGTAATCTTAAATGAGATTTTTCTCTCCCACTTCTCTCACCTATCCACCCTTTACTTTCTGATCTTTTTCTTTTGACTGAAACTAGTGTAAAAGTTGATTTGTTCTGAATTGCTTAGTATTTTTTCTGTAGAATAGTTACAGATTGATCCTAAACTTACTTCTTAAAGGTTATGTGCCCCCACACAACTACTGTCATATTAAATAAAACTCTATACAATAAAAGAGTTTCAAATGAAAATATGATACATTTTTCATAGCCTTTAATTTTGTTTGGTCAAGAACCATAGTAAAGCCAGGTGCAGTGGTGCACGCCTGTAATCCCAGAGACTCAGGAGGCTGAGATAGGAGAATCGTGTGTTCAAAGCCAGCCTCAGCAATGGTGAGGCACTAAGCAACTCAGTGAGACCCTGTCTCTAAATAAAATACAAAAAAAATTAGGGCTGGGGATGTGGCTCAGTGGTTGAGTGCCCCTGAGTACCCAGTCACCAGCACCCACCTACCCCCTCCAAAATAAAAAGAATCAGAAAGGGAGAGCAAACTCATGTAGCTCTGTTGGTGGATAACAGGCACTTATTTAAGTAAACAGATTATAGTGTGCTCTTTGCAATTTAATCTCCATACAGGTGAAAGGTTCTCAGTGAAAGTAAGCAATAAAATAATACTTTTTAAATGCAAACTTTGCTTATTTAGAAGTGTGATAAATTAAGCTCATTGTATGTCACTGTATTAACATGTTTATTCAAATATAAAGGAAAAAGCATTAAACTAAAAAACGCTTCTCATCAAAATTTAAAACATTTGTTTATGTGGCTTTTCTCCTAATTAAAAGCAATTGTTGTTTACTCACTCATCTCACAAATTAGCACATCATAATTAGATGTCATTTCAGAATAAAATCTTCACAACTTTCAGATTTTATTTATAACTTATTTAAAACACTTTTTTCAGCATAATTGCAAAATTCTTAAAACTGTTTAGGAAATGTAAATTAGGTATAATTGTACTAATGTTATATTAGCTTTGAAAAAAAACATGTTCTCCTTGTCCATAAACTAAAGGCCTTGTGACTTGATCTGCGCTGGACTACCATGCCAGCACATTCCCCCAATCCATTTTTATCTTTGTCATGTTAGTTGGATACTCCCAGGACTCTAGGACCACCTTTATTGTGACCTTCTGAGGTTTTGCCTGCCAACATGACTTCCTTTTTCTTTGGGTAGGTACCTATGTCCCCTTTAGGAAATAGTTCCCACTTTTAGTTCATATGGATTATGATGTCTTTGGGTTCCCCAGAAACTGGTTATATGTTACAGTCTTATTAAGAAGTCCAGGGGCTGGGTATGTGGCTCAAGCGGTAGCGCGCTCGCCTGGCATGCGTGCGGCCCGGGTTCGATTCTCAGCACCACATACAAAACAAAGATGTTGTGTCCGCAGAAAACTATTAAAAAATTCTCCCTCCCCCCACTCTCTCTAAGAAAAAAAAAAAAAGAAGAAGTCCAGTCGCAGGGAACAGGAGGAAGGGACAAGAGGGCAGAAAGGAGAGCCAGTGTGAGAATGTGCTATCAAGCTGTCATCCAAGAAGCCACTGAAAGAGTGTTCTTAGCAGATTTTCTCTTAGAGAATAAAGGGAAGAATTTATACTTCAGCTTCCATCTCTCTTTGGTTAAAGATTTTCTCAAGTTATGCAGAAAATGACAAGTCAAAGATTCAAATGCAGTCAGGCTTGTTCAAGAGCCCAAACCCTTAGCCATTCTATATTGCTCTTACAAATGTTAGTCAATAATGAGAGCTAAGAGTAAACTAGAAGCAATGATACAGAGTAGTTAGTATTCTAGGGTTACAGGAGGAATGCTTCTTTGAGGCGATATTTGAGTAAAGACCCAAAGGGGAAGGATATTCCAGACAATGCAAAGAACCTGAGATAATGAAGGAACTATGAGGCACAAAATTACAGTTGCAGTGTGAACTGTGGAGAGAACAACAGGAGGCAATATTGGAGAGAAAGAAGAGAACAAAGAGGTGTGGATCACACAAGGGCCTTGTAACCACTGACACTTTTTTGTTTGTTTTTGAGACAGAGTCTCACTAAGTAGCTCAGGCTGGCCTCAAACCTGAGATCCTTCTGCCTTAGCCTCATGAATAGCTGGAATAACAGGCATGTGCCACCATATCTGGCTAACCATGCTGGGCCTTGTAGGCCATTATAAGACTTTTGACTCTTAATCTGAGACAGGAAACCATTGGAGGCTTTGAATCAGAGGAGGAATGTGCTCTGACTTCAGTCTTAATAGGATCTTGTGATAATAGAGGGAAAGAGACTAATGGAGGTAAGAATAAGTGGGTGGGAGCCTTTTGCAATCTCTGTTGGAGAGAAAATTATGTCTTTGACAAGGGTGATAGAGTAGGGGTAGATGAAAAGGAATGGAACCAGGTTTTGCTAATGGATGAAATTAGAAATTAGTACAAAAGGTCCTATGTTGGGAAATTTAGAGACACTTTAACTTGTGAACAAAAAATAAATCATAATGAAATTTTAAAAGACATATATTTAGAACCAAAGCAAAAAATGTGGGTTGAGAAGTATTCTTGAAGCAAAGTTCTAATTCTAAATGTTTGTATTAAAAAAGAAGGTATCTCTCTCTCTCTTTAAAAAAAAGGAGGGAAGATAAAAATTAATGAGATAAGCATTCAATTTAAGGAATTAGAAAAATAATGGTAAAATGAGCTGTAAGAATTGGAAGAAGAAATAAAATTATAAGAGCAGAGACTGATATAATAGATACTATCTATATAATAGAATCATTAAAACAAAAAGTCAGTTATTTGAAAATATTAATAAAGTGAATTTATCCAGTGAAACTGATTAAAGAAAAAGAGTAAATAATATCAAAAATAAAAGAAAGATATATGTATGGATGCTGAGAGATTAAGAAGAGATTTATGATTATAAATAACTTTCTGCTAATAAACATAATAATGTAGATAAGTGAAATAATCAATTCTTGGGCAAAAGTAATGTATTAAAAAGGAGCCAAGAAGAGTCAGGGAGCCTAAATAGTCCAATAACCATAGAAAAAAATAGAATTAGTAGTAGCTAAAATCTCCCAGAAAAGAACACTCTAACCTAACGATTTTATTGATCGATTCTACCAAACATGTTTTTAAAAATTCAGAATACAAAAAAAGAAGCAACATTGTCCTACTCATTCTGTAAGGCTAGAATAACACTGATACCAAACCTTGATGAGGATAGAATAAGAAAACTACATGTTAACTTTATTTATGAATGTATAAATGAAAATCCTGAAAACAAATATTGCAAATTGAATTCTGCAATCTATAAAAATGATAATACATCATTTGGATTCATCCAGGAATATACCATTAGTTTAAACTTTGAAAACCAATTAATGTAATTAATACAAAGCTGATGAAAGTATAAGTAATCATATGAGCACAGTAAATTTAAGGAAAAAGAGCATTATATGATTCAATGCACAGTGTAGAAAAAACATTTTTGTAGTGCTGGGGATCAAACCCAGGGCTTAATATGTGCTGGGCCAGCACTCTGCCACTGACTGAGACCTCTAGCCCTGAAAGAACACCCTTAAAAATATGCAATTTTCTTAACCTAATATACAGAATACATATTCCAAACAGACTTTTTAAAAAACAAAAGAAGCTGATTCATAAATATATATGGGAAATAGCATGGGCTCCACAAGAGCCAATATCCAAAGGAGAATAACAAGGTAGAAGTACTTGACCTCCTAGACATGAAAACTTACTAGATCTAAAACTGTTGTAATCAAGGCATTTGATACTGCATAGGGGTCGATAAATAGACATACTAAAGAGATTGGAACACAGAAACAGACTTACTCTCTTATAGGAAGTTATGGTATTTCTCTACCATTCCCCATATTGCATCAACAGGAGATGCTACAGATAATTTTCTATGCAGGTAGAAGGAAGCTACGAATGAATTAACTTGGACTAGCCATGCCTAGCATCATCTCTGATCACTCTTTCCCTCATTTACTCTTCTTGTGGGAGTGTCTGTGAACAGCAATACTTTCTACAGTTGCTTATTAAACTATGCTCTGGGAGCCATCCTTGCTTTCTTTTATTGCCCAAGCATCATGTTCTATTAATTTTAAATTTGATAGATACACTTTTTCCCATCCTTTACTGAACTAGCTCCTACTGAGGCTTTAGGACTGTTCAAAGGCAGTATTTAGTTAGGGTCTTATATAGTTCTACAGCACAGAGTATGGAACTCTGTCACTATTATACTTACACAATTGTAATTGCCAGTTTATTTCTATGTAAGTTTCTATATTTCCCCAAAGTTCTGAAAGTATAACTTTAAGTAAATCCCTTAAGGGAGAGTATCCTACCTGTTTGGAGTTTTATTGTCAGGGCCTAGTACTATCCCTGGAATGTAGTTAATAAACATTTGATAATATACTGATTCATAAATAAATGGATATATGGATGAAGAGATAGAAAGTGAGTGAATTCCAGAACAATTCATCTAAAATGTATTTAAGGTATTTCATCATATTATTCTGCTTTATAAAAAAATTATTTCTTTATAATCTTTTTGCCAAATCTGGTTTAAGATGATATTATTCCAGGCTATCATAATACCACTTTTTGCACATTCTTCTTTTCTTTACATTGATTAAAGATACTTCATGATGAGGGAAAAAAAACTCCAAGTTCTACTTTTCTAGAATGGTGTTTCTGTCAAATGGAATAAATCATCCACAAATCTTACATAAATTTTTAAAATCATTAATTTTCATCTTTATGCAAATAAAAATGTTAATTAGAATTATCTGGAATAGCCAAGGGGCCCAATAAATATTTGCTGAATAAATGAAAGTTTAAATATATAATTCTAGAAGTGACTCTTTTTATTTATTATCACATTTTTATAATTTCTTTCTAAAGGACTTTGATTGGCCAATAGAAGGACTGCTTATTCCCAACAGCCCTCCCATGAAGAAACCCATCCAGAAGACACCAGAGCAGTATGTCCCTATGAGACTCAGAGTTTTGAGGAATGGAGATAAGAATAAAAGCAGATCCCTTGTTACAATTTGTCCAGAAATATCATCTAAAACACAGTAAGAATGACTTGCTCATCATTATCATTAAATATACTTTCTAGTTTCTATAGATTTTTGTCTACTTTATTATGAGTGTTTTTCTGGGGGTAATTATGTATTTATTTAGAAAGAGTGCTCCTAGTTGATATTTAAAGGTGAAAACAGATACAAAAATTCATTTAGTTGCTATATCAGGAAATTAATTCGATCTCTGCTGATATAGGCTAGGCACAGGAGAAAATAATGAATTAGAAATAAGTATCTTTGATTTTAAAAAGGTTCTATGAGAAATGTCTGTTTGGAATTAGCACTTTTGCTTGAGTTTTATTAACATATGTTGATATAACTGAACTCACAAATTGCTTCTTAATTATAACTTTGTAATTCTTCATTTAAGTTACTATTATACACAATTATTCATATTTATACCTTTGAAATACATAATGAACAAATACAGTTCTCAAAAGTATAGCTTTATATAACATATTCTTTCCTCTGGATATTTTAAAAGTTTATCTTCCTAGAAAAGCATTGATTTTACCTTATGATTGAAATAAAATCTTTCTAAACAGTCAGTGTTTTTCTAACATTGGTGAAAAATCACCTGTTATATTTTTATTACATTTTATGAAAAAGTAATCATAGGTCATTGAGAAGCTTTGATGTAAAGAATGAGTTAAACACATTGTTTCTCATATAATTACCAACAATATTACCTCTTGACCTTTCATTTGAAACATTTAGGATATTTGAAACTGCCGATAATGGTTTAATATTACTTTCTTCACATTGATTAAATATACTTCATACATCGCTGAACAATGAGTAACATTCATATTGGCTGTCCACTGAACTGCCTGTAAAGATGATAAAGTAAAAAATTAATCTTCAAAGTAAAGTCAAGCCTGAAATTGAAATCTTTGACGCATACATTTCATAATTAGCTCATTCTGCTACATGTAAAATGTGAGGTTAATGCCTTTAAAAAAGTGTCTGACCTTTTTCCTAAAAGCCCAAAGTTAATACATGATTTCTTATTTATTTATTTTTATTCTAATCTTTAACTGTGGCTCAAAATTATATGCAGGTAAGATCACATTAATGTTTTAAAATGCAGGTTCAGTCAGGGAATCCAAACATTTTGAGAGACTGGCAACTTTGGGCAATTATTCTGGCAAAGAGTATATGAAACTGTCCATTGTCTGACATTTATTTTTATGGAATAGTGGGTCTGGTTCATCAAGCATTCGGACATTATTTACTTTTTCATGAATTATATATTCCTGAGAAATTAAAATGCATTGGCATGTACTTGACACTAAAATTGTACTAAATATTATGTAATCTTTGTTGGCTCAAAAGTATTCTACAGGATCATCAATAGCATCCCTCCCCCCATCTCTGCTGTATGTAAACACTGGTTAACAAAAGGTTTACATGGAAAGAGTCTTGGCTAATACTGCAGAACGGCCATGTCGCCCACCTGTTGAAGGGTCTGTTTATATTGTGTGAATGGCATCCCAGTGTCATCCAAGATAGAAGCCCAGCAATGCTGCTTTTAACAAATACAAGCTACATATCTTGCAGAAGAAATAAATTCTGTTGATATACATGGATACATTCCTTGAATTAACCTGAAACTTAGTTATAAAAAGAAAGAGGTTCCATTGGTTAGTGCCTTTACAAGTAAAATCATGAGAGAAAGATGAAATAGAAATCTAGTTTAATTAAACCCAGCTCTGGTTCTGCTATCCTTCGGTTATTTAATAACTCCCTGTAGACAGTTTTGAGGGTTTCTCTTTGTTATTGTTTCCTCCATCTGCAAAACCAAATGAAGATCAAATGGTATTATTTTTCACTTAATTGATATTGTTCTTAGTGACACAATCTTCTCAATTAGTCTTGATAGTGGCTGCCAAGAATATATAACTTAAAAACTGATATTTTTTTGTCAGAGGCAAATTTCATTTTTTAGAATTGTATTTTAAGCAAAGAAAATTTTATAAGTGATACTTTAAGGAATAATAAGAAGAAAGGCTCAATATAAAGCTCTATAGTAAACTTTATATTTCAAATCATTTCAACGTACATATAATAATTGTTAATAAGTTGTGACCTCTGGACTTACTCAAGCTCCTTACTATAGCTTTTAAGGCCTTTTATAAACAATCCCTCTATATTTCTCTAGTTATAATTCTTACCAACACTTCCCCCAGTCCCACTTCAAAACCCCACACTGCCCAACACCTCCCATCTCCATAATAAGAAGCATATTCTGATGATAAGTTTGGACATTTCTAGATGTTAACCCTGAACTCCACATTGCATTGCTTCCCACTGAGATTTTTGTAGCTGCTGTACACTCCGTTGCACCAGTTGTCCTGGCCTCCTCCCAGCCTCATAACTACCATTCTGTTTCACACTTACCTGCAATGCCTCAATCTGTGAGATGGAAATAGGAATGGTGTATGTGCTGTCTGCTATGGAACAGTGTATTCTAGCTAATCGAGGTATTACAGATTCACTTTAATTGTATTATCAAAGGCCTACAGTACAGACTCTGTCTCTAAATAAAATACAAAAATAGAGATGGGTATGTGGTTCAGTAGTTGAGTGCCCCTGAGTTCAATCCCTAAACCAAAAAAAAAAAAAAAGGGGGGGGGAGCTACAGTAAGCCTCAAGTCAGTGCTTATTGATTGAATGAATGAATCATTACATTTGATCACGATTATTTCATTTAATAAAGAGATTCTAAAAGTGCAAAGAATGTTTTTCTAACTCGAAAATTCGAATAATACCGTTTGTGATCATGATTATTTTTCTTTTAAAAAAATGTTTCGGTTTGGGACTGGGGAGCATAGCTCAAAGGTAGAGCACTTGTCTAGCATGTATAAGACTCTTGAGTTCAATCCACAATAGTGCAAAAAACACACAAAAGTTTAGGGTTGAATTAATAATAGAACCATATGTGAATAAAACAGACAAAATTAATGTAATCTCTGTGTTTTTTTCAAAGGTGACAAATTTACATCTGACAGTGTTCAATTTTATTGGATTTAAAAAATTTTTTTATTTGTTTTAAGTAGTTATACTTGACAATAGAATGCATTTATGCACTTTGATATACCATACATAGATAGGATATAATCTCTCATTTTTCTGAGTGTGCATGTTGCGTAATCATATTGGTCATGCAGTCACATATATAAATACAGTAATAATGTCTGTCTCATCCTACTATCTTTCCTATCCCACATCCCCTTCTATCTCCTCCCATCACTTCCCTCTACCTAATCTAAGGTGACACTATTCTTCCCTAGTACCCTCTGCCTTATTGTGAATTAGCATTTGCATATTAGAGAAAACATTTGGCCTTTGGTTTTGTGGGATTGGCTTATTTTGCTTAGCATGATATTCTCTAACTCCAACCATCTACTGGCAAATGCCATAATTTCACTCTTCTTTAAAGCTGAGTAATATTCCATTGAGTATATATACCACATTTTCTTTATCTATTCATCCATTGAGGGACACCTAGGTTGTTCCATAGTCTAGCTATTGTGAATTGAGCTACTGTAAACATTGTTGTGGCTGCATCACTATAGTATGCTGATTTTAAGTCCTTTGATAGCTGGGTCAAATGGTTGAAGAGGACTAGAATATTGCAAATTAATTTTCTTATGTATAATACTCATAGTATACTTGTTTATAAAACAACATGTTATTATTTAATATGTAGTATGAAGTTTAGTATTTAATTGTATTAGTGGAAATTCTTTGTTTGAAAGAAAGATAAGACTGTTTTAGGGTAAATCATGGTAAATTAAGACCTCCTAATTTTTCATATGAGAGATAATTAATAATTTAATGCTAATACAATCAAATCTTGGATAATTTGTTTCAGAAATGTTAATCCTGAAAGGAAAGAGAAAATCTGTGTTACTAAGAATTCTGTGACAGAAATAAATGAGACTGAATTTCATCATCTTTTGGAGAGGTAAATATTTAATATGCTAAATGTAAAGGCATTTTCCACTCAAATGCCTGAATTATTGTGTACAACATTAACAAAAAGTACATTTGTATCTACATAAGAAACAAATTGTTAATTATAAAGGTCTTGCTAAGCTGCCTGTACTGGTATTGAACTTGGGATCCTTCCACCTCAGTCACCCCAGTGGCTGGGATTATGGGGTATGCCATCTTCCTCACTGCATTACTTTTCTCATGCCAGGTGCTTTATAGTGTTACCATATTTATCTGTAAAACAGCCTCAGGAGATAGGTACTGTAGTATCCATCTGTAGTGTAAAATGTCTCATATTAGAGTAACAGACGTAGAACTTTTTCTTGATGCCTTCTGCTTCTTGCACATAACCTGTAGTATTAGAAAACCCACTGGGTCAAAGGACAAGGGGTTTAATATTAAGTCCTACTTTGCTATTAACTAGCTGGAAGCCTTCAGCAAAGCCTTGCCCTTCATTTACTACAAATGAAGCAAATGAAGCTCTAAGAAGTTAAGTAATTTTTTCAAGGTTACCCAGCCAGAATGTGAGAGGGATAGAATTTGAGCGCAGACAATCTGATTTCAGAGCCCACATTCCTTTTCAGGAACTTAAAATCCAGTTATTTTCTTTTCCTTTTCCCACTCATATTGGCTAGCATGTGAAGTAGACAGAAGAGTTAAATACAGTGTGAAACTCTTTGTCCCAATCCTCTTTAGCCCACCCACATATGCCAAACTCAACATTAATTAGGGTTACACAACAGAGAGAAGGAAACATCCACTAACCACCCATTCCTTCTATTCTCTCAAACACTGTCCTAAAACAAGATATCCCAGACTCTAAACAGTTCCCCTAGGAAAATATGAGTGGGAGCAGAAGTGATGTTGGTAGCTCTTCTTAGGCCATATTGTAACTGCTTGAACCTGCAAAGATGTTGATGTGGAGGAAGTTAGAAGGAATTGGGTTGAGTCTCTGGCTGTCATCCAAACAGAAGCGTGGAGATTTGTGACCATGACTTGATGCTCTTGTGGTCCCCTTCTGCTCCTTCTACCTCACCAACTCTTATGGATGAGGAACACGGCCCAGTCTCCACTGGTCTATCAGCTTTCAGAATTAAGGCACAGGACATAAAGACTTAATTCTCACAGGTTTATTTCCTTCTGAGGCAGTCTCAAAAAAATAGAGGGCCTAGAATGTTTTCTCTAGTATGCGGATGCTATTCACAATAAGGCAGGGGACACTAGGGAAGAATAGCATTACCTTAGATTAGGTAGAGGGAAGTGAAGAGAGGAGAGGGGATATGGGGATAGGAAGAATAGCAGAATGAAAGAGACATTATTACTGTATGTATATATGTGACTGTATGACCAATATGATTCTGCAACATGTACACTCAGAAAAATGAGAGATTATATCCCATCTATGTATGATATATCAAAGTGCTAAATGCATTCTACTGTCATGTATAACTTATTAAAACAAATTTTTTAAAAAGGGCCCAATTATGTACTTAATTGCTTCATCTCAATGAAGGTAATAAAATTTAAACATGTTCTTTATTCAGCTGAGTCTTACTGATGAGCATGAAGATACTGCTAACTCACTTGCTATAAAAAGTACATTCTAACATCAAATATATTTAGCAAGAACCTTTCACTTTCCTCCTTCTAAAGGTAGGGTCACCACGGGAATATCCTTAGGAAATGCAGAATCACTCTCCTTAACTCTACTCCTTCCCCATAATTCCTACCTCTTTATCCCTAATATAAACTGGCTACCTAGGGTCCAGCCTCTCCCACTACCCGTCCATTTTCTAACTTTCTGGCCATTAACCTTCTAAAAGGCAAATCTATAATAACATGCATTTTCTCTAATATCTCCTGTGGCCTCCTGTTTGAGATAGAAGCCAGGTTCTATCCAGGATCCTGAGTGTTTTAAATTAATTCCTGTTTTCTTTTTCAGTTTCATCTGGCCCCTCCTCCAGTCCATACACTCAGCTGTAGCTTAGCCCCTTATGAACTCCTATTCACCCTTTGAAGTCCTACTCAAATGTCACTTCCATAGATTCATTGTTTTCCCTCTGTGTTCTTTCAGTACACTGGCAGCTACAATGTTACACTGTAAGTCTGTTGCTAACTAGGTAGGCAGCTCTTCAGGGAACTTGTGCCATTTATTTCAATACCCACAGGGCATACCCAGCTCTTGTTTGAGAGGGAAAGAAATCAATATTTAGTGTTTAGCCAAGTCAAAAATTTCTATTTCGAAGAGTGCTGAGAGCCATAGCCAAGTAGGAATGACGCATGGCATTTTTGGTTGAAAGGTGACGCCAGCAAGCTATTGAGATGATAATGATTATGTTAAGATGTGCATTCAATGGGATATTAGACCCCTGCTGTCTGCCTTGGCCTGCTACTTTGGAGCTCGGCAGGACTCCCAGAGAGTTCCCATTGGTTGGGGAAGTGCGGTAGGAGGGATTTCTGGAGGAGGGATTTCCCGTTGGAGTAGTGTGTCCGGGGAGGAGCCGCGTGGCGTGGCCTTCGGCATTTTTCCTGAGAGCGTGTGTGGAGTGTGCTGGTGGAGTTCAGAAATAAAGTTTGTTCCTGCTTCAGTGGCTCCTGATTTGTGCCCAGCCAGACTGCGGCAGAAGAGATCATTTCTAGTGAAGAAAGCTAAGGGATTGCTTGGTGACTGATGGTGCCTTTTGCAATCTTGGAGAAAGATCAAAGTTTCAACAGTAAAAGTCAAGGAAGGTGTTTTAGAGAGAAGGAATAGCATGAACCAGAGGCGTAGATGAAAAGATGTAGGGCCCACTGAGGAATGAAGTCAGTAAGGATATGTCTACCTATTTGTTGGTCATGCCTGCCACTGTGCTGAGCACTTTTCAAATCAACTTTTAATCCTCACAACAATCCTGAAGATAAGAAATTTAGGCTGAGAAAGGTTAAAGACTTTTCCCCAAGCATCACAACTTGGATAGCTCTAAACTAGCTCAGCCCTGCAGACAGAGTTGTCAACACAACCTAGACCTTGATTTCTTTTATTTTCTCTCTCTATTGCTGGAAGCATTCTGTGTTCAAGGTCAGTTTTTATATTTTTTATTACAGGTGCACTGAAATTTTAAAATTACCTTCTGCAGCTCGGAGATTATTCAATGAAAAGGGCATGGAAATCTTTTCCCTAAAGGACCTGCAAAGAGATGAACTGGTAAACAAGTGGATTTGAAACAAAGTGTTACTATATGAATGCCACCAAAGGAAAAGTATCCTTCATTGGAAGACTTCAGATGCTTAGCATTGTTATTTTCTCTCAGGATTATCCTAACTCAGCAACCATCATAAAGTTATACTAATAACTAGCATCTTTGAGAACTTCCTGTGTGTTCATTTTGTGTTCATTACTACCCTTTGAGATGGAGGCTTCTGTTATCCCCACTAAAAACTGAAGAAACCAGAGAAGGCCATATTATCGACCAATTGTGATTTATCTCTCTGACTTTTAAGGAAATAGATCCTTTACTCTTTTTGAGGCATATGCAATATAGTTGTTTAATGATTTCTTAAAAATAATGTCAATTTTTCAGGAAAATATTATATCCAGTTTTTAATACACTCTATTTGGGAGGTTAGAGAAAGTTGAGAATCTGAAGGACTTTAGCAACCTAGTCTTTTCTCCCATTTTTTAATTCAAGGCATCAGCTCAGAATAAAACAAAAACAAAAATCTGCCCTAACTAATGCCTGAAATTCTTTACACTGAGAACAAAGATTGCATAATATTGTCAGAACTTGCCTCAGACTCTGAAGATAAGCAACCTTGAGAGACTCTTAAACCCAGGCACCAATGACTGATATCATAGGAAGCATATAGGGTGTTCTTGGAATTTAGTAGATCTTAATTTAAGTGCTAATGCCATCACTTCAAAGAGTTTGTTTTTAATGTTTGTGTGTGTATGCTGCCATGATTATTTACTGTGTTTTTTTTTTTTTTTTTTTTTGAGACAGAATTTAGGCAACTTGTATTAAAACATACTGTAACAAAAGATAAATTTAGTCTAAAGGTAAGTGTAGATGAGGTTACCAGGGTATGGGTGTAAGGAAGATAAAATGGAGCCAGGATGATTGTACATTAACCTGCCACTCTCTGAGTAATCAACATAAAGATTGAAACATGAGTGGTTGTATGATTTAGTGTATTCATAATATTATCAAGAAACGTGATGTTCAAGAAGAGGAATTTTTAAAGAAAGTTTCCTTAGGTCCTCACACAAAGAGTCTTTGTACTGATGAGTGTGTAATAATCAGAAAAGACAGCACTGGGTTTCCCTTACTTCATACTGAGTCTTTTCAATATATCATAATCTTTTTTCATTTTTAAAGATATATATATTCATTTAAGGACATTTAAGAAATATATACAATAAAAATAAAGAGGAAAAAGTCTCATCCATAATCTCTCTATCCAGAAATATCCATATTAACATTTTGGTGTTAATATTATAAATTCACTTATACCAGAAATTGTAAGAAATTTTCTGCCAAGGGCCAGAAAGTAAAAATCTTAAACTTTGTGGGCCATGTGGTCTCTACGGAAATATCACTTCTGTAGCTGTAGCATGAAAGCAGCCATGGACAACCTATAATGAATGAGCATAACAGGATTCCAATAAAACTCTATTTACAACAACAAGCAGCAGGCCAGATTTATGCTGTAGCCCCAGTATGCCAACCCTTAATGGTGCCCACCTTTCACTTTTCACTTTTCCTCTGTTCTTAAGAAATTGTATGTAAAACATTTTAATATTTAAATTATTGTAGACCCACAGAAGTTGCAGAGATAGTGTGAAATACTTTTCTCACCCCATATAAAATTCTCGAAATTTATCAAAATTGTTTTTGTTGACAGTTTATACTTTTTAAATACTAAATAGTATTCCATGACACCACCATTTTTTGACCATTCAACTATTATATGGTATTTTGATTTCTGTGATTGTTTCCAGTTTGGGCTATTACAAATACTGGTACTATGAACCATTATGTACAGAATCAGCGATTCTTTTCTTTGACAGGTATATGTTTCATGTGGAGAACATTGGATCGATCCTGACCTGTCTATTGCTCAGCAAAAGAAGCAAATCTTCCTCAGGAACCTAGCATCTGACATTTCCAAAATTCAAACCTTCTGCAGCACACGTAAGGAAGAAAGTAAGCATTGGAATTCCTCTTCTTTCTCTTATTGTTATTTTCTTTTGTTGGAGCTGAGGATCAAATCCATGGCTTTGTACATCCTAGGCAAGTACACCCCTAAACTATGAAATTATTTTATCTTTTTATATTCTGCCAAAATAAAATGTTTGATATTGTTTTATATTAAAATAAAAATTTTGCACAGATTATATTTCACCTGTTCATCTTACTATTTAGCTCTTTAGACTAATTTTTATATTTAACAGGGTTGCATATTTTTTCATACTACAATTTGTATCTCAAAAAGCACATAATCTCTTTATATGTCTTTAACAGATCTGAGCCTCATACATTTCCATCAAGAAAAAATTAAATGTCCACTCTGGTGTAAATGTTGATCCATCAATTGATTTAATTAGTCTCTTTAGGAAGGGCTTTCTGGTTTCTCAGTCTCCATATCCTCACTTTAGTTCCTCTCCAGGATGACAGGAAAGAACTTGGCATGTAGATTGTCTTGCTCCCTGCTGAAGTCTATGGCTGGGGCAACTTGGGTTCCATTGTTTTTGCCCAGAGATGCTTTGGGTGGGTGGTACCTCCTTCCTGATGTAGGCTCCCCTTTGTTCATTCTGGCCCTCTGAAGCCTTGCAGTGACTCAGTAGTCATGTCTACAAACTGTTACAGAGACAGCTCATTCCTGTTTGGTGACTCCTTCTGGAAAGCTCCCCAGGAAGACTCTAAGCAAATACTATGTCTTAGGTACACCTCCCAGAAACTAGATCCAGGTTCATGTGACTGTGCCTCAGATTGGAGTGATAAGAATAGCTCAAGAGGTGACCCTGTCACAGTGTACTGAACAATGGGCAGTGTCCTCAATGTTTCCACAGACAACTAAGGTACTCAAAGTGAAGCCTATAGGGAGAGGCAGGATTCCCTGTGATTTTATGGTTTTTCTGTCTTTTGCCTCTAATTCTCTCAGGCCCATAAATGGTGTTTTTTTTTTTTCTCTCCAGGTTAAATCCTTTACATGCTAAATAGGAGCAAAAGACTTTTGGAAAAATCACAAATCATGGTTGTATCATCCTGACTTACATGGCTATTGTCTTGTAGCAGTATGCTGTTTGAATGTCCAAAACTATCTTTGGACTTTTGCTTCCCCATTGTAGCATCTCTAATTCCCCTGCAATCCTTACTTTATATACAGAAAGAAAAAAGGGATAAGAAAATAATATAATTGAAGACATTAGCCCTATCACATGTATCAAAAATTATGAAGTAAAGCTTTGCATGTGTCTTTCAAGGCATTGGGATTTTCACTGATGAGTTTGAAACACAGAGAATGATCTAGAGACATGTATCTAAATACTGTAGCCCATTTTCAGAATTAGAATATAGAATAATTAACACATTTTTGAAAGACCTATTTTAGGTACTTTTGAATAATAATATCTTGAGAGGGAAAAATCTACTAACATTGAATTAAATGAAATTCAAATTCATAGTTTAAAAGCAACCTATGATTAGAACAAATGGCTGGAATTTTTTTGTATTTGCATGTTAGTATGTGTTTTCAAATTCCTGGTGCTCTGTGATCATAACTAATGTGTCCTTGAAATTTGTGCATTTCTGCTCAGCTCTTGTTTTAGAAGTCCAAAGCGACATTGTGGCTGGAGGCAAGCTTGCTGTGCAAAAACCCATAGCAATTTTTGGAGAAGAGAAGCAAGTTGAAGAAACAGAAGAAAAGCAAATGCCAACTGACGCTTCAACAAGAGCTGATGCTTCCAAAGAAATCTTGTAAGTAATCAGTGTAGCCAGAAAAACTACCAGGCTGCTGTTTTGAACTCAGTTCATTAGCCTGATAAAAGCACAGAGCCCATGCAGGGAACCCATGCCAAGTTAGTGAAAGTGAGATCTGGTGAAAAGCTTGTATTTAATTCGTTTTCTGACAAAAGCATGGAGTGAGAATTTCATTGTTCAACCATCAGAATGATCTACTTTCAGTAATATTGTTACAATGTTACTATATTTTAAGGACTAGAATTTTAGCATTATGAACATTTATTTAAGGAATTCTTGTTTTATATCCATCAACTTTGACTTTAGGAACAATTAAGTTTCTTCCCTAACATATGTTCAAGTTAGACTCATGTTAATATACATTTATCATTGGACTCATTGAAACATCTTTCTGATTGACCTCTATCTCCATAATGTCTCCTTCCAACTCACCCTTACATGCAATCTGTGGTCAATTATCTTTCTAATACATAATATTTTTCATAGTTTTTCAATGGCTACCTATTGCAGATAGACAAAAAAAATTGATCTGGAATCCTAAGCTCTTCCTACCCTCGCCCATGCCTGTTATTGACCATCTTTTGCGACCCATGCATACTTCCTTCGCTTTTCTTCCTGCCACATGAACGCCAAGCTCTAGCTGCATAGCAAAAAGGTGTCGCCCGAATGTGGCACATTCCATTTATGTTCTGTTGCAGGTCTCTGAGCCATGTGTTAATTTCTTTTCACCCAAAGTGCATTTACTTGCCTCATATTCATCTGTAGAATGACCCTTAATCAATGAGATCAATCACAGCAATGATTATCTGTAGCAATGGGCTTATCAGTTCCTACCCTGTTGGTCACCCTCCCCCACCAACTAGGGAATTCATTGAAGGAAAGGATTCTGTCACATGTGCTCTGTGAAGAGCATAGTAATAGACTTTAATCATCATTTAACAAATGAACAAAGGAATGTCTGAGTCCAAATTATAAAACCAAAAATACTTCATCAATTACCATTGCAGTAATTGTGAAAATTAATTATCACTGTTACAAACTGTTTTTAAAAGACTATTCCTATGAATTGTAAGAGTATTACTTCCATTTTAGGAACAACATTTCCTGATTTTGATGAGTGATTCATTTGTTCCTATCATGACATTAACAAAAGCACCAGAAGGCATTTTTCAAAGAATAATTTGTCCTATAGAGCATCATCCACAATAGTTAGGGAATTGACCACAGACTTCCCTAACATTCCCTTTCATTTTTCTTCTAAAGAATGCATCCTCTGAATAGAAAATGAGGTGGAAGACCTGTTATTAACCATTGCAAAGGCCCTTAACAATGCAAACTGGTACATAAAAATTATATCCAATGGGGAAGACTGGGATCATGGCTGACATACCAGTGTGTCTTGGCATTCATCCTTCTCAGTGCCCTAAATCCTCAGTACTCCTAAAAAAAACTCCTCTCAGCTGAGAGGGTGACTGGAACCATTTTTGTGGCTACCATTGTCAGAACTGTTCAACCTGGGAGGCAGGTTGCTTAGTTCCTTCTAGACTGGCCCTACAGGGCAATGCCATTTAGATTCTAGAGAGCACAGTGAACCACTGGGGTGCTAGCTTTGTGCGGATAACATATAACAATTTAAGTTCCCTGTGGCAAGTACAAAAGAAAAAAAAGAACGTTTTATCTAGCCTCTGAGTTATTAATCTGCACTAGAAAAAAATAAAGAAAAAACAAAGAAACATCTTTGACTAAAAGATTTTCAATGTTCAGAATCAAGATTTCATATACATGAAGTCTTTGCGGTGAAAAGTGATTGAGTCCATTCAGAACACAATGCTGACCTCTCCTGATCATTCCAAGCAGACTGTTTTGCTACAGCCTCTTCTTGAACACACGCAGTAGCAGGAAACTCACTATTCTAATGTTTAAATAATCAACTATTTAGGTCACCTCCATCCCATGGCTTCATCTCTTTCATGGTCTATGCTCTTTCATCTTCTGTTTGACAGCCTTTATGTTCTTATTCATCAGTTCACTGGATTATCTTTTTTTCCAGGCTAACTTTCACTAGTTCTTTTAACTTACTTTAGTAAGTCATTGTGAGATTTCCCCCAGAATTCCTTAAATATGTTTGTTTGGAGATTTTTTGCATATTTGAAAATTGGGATGATTTAAGGAGGTCTATCTATTAGGTGAGAGGAGAGAAAATGATTCTACAAGGAACCTTTTTATTGTTGGTTTGTGTACAATGTCTGGTAAAAATAACAAGAAGTGCAATGGAAAAGAAACTCTGGGAACACTAACCTCTGCATTGATGCTTTGTGGGGTGGGGAAAAAAACCTTTTGGAACAGAACTTGGGGGAATAGTCTCAATTCTTCACCAAATTACAGGAATAGGCCTTGCCCTCCTCATCTGGTACTACCTTTCCAATCACTTACTTCCTGTCTGTAACACCTTTTGTCTTTCATTACACAAATGGACAGACTCATTCTTGATTCAAAACCTTTCCATTTGTTCTTTTCTCTGCTTACAGTGCTCTCTCTAGATTAGTAGGTAGCTGGAGACTTTCCATTGTATAGGTCTCAACTTAAAACAACAGGGAATTTCCTTTGCAATATTTCATTTTATCCACTTGTGGCACTTACTTTGTTTACTTAAGCATTTATCTATTGTCTCTCTTTTTTCCACTTGAATACAAGCACCATGAACTCGAGAACTTGGCTATTGTGTTCATCACTATATCTCCAACTCTTAGAATTATGTGCTTGAATATTATAAACATTTAACAAATATTGGTTAAAGGAATGAAGAATAAATGGCTAGCTTTATGAATGAATGAACAAATGAATTAATTAATTTTAAAAAGGTGAATATAAAAATGACTGTTCCTAAATTGATTTGACTATACTTCACTTTCAGAAGCTCAAGATCTTGTATATAAATTCCAAATAAGAAAATTCAATATCTGGATGTAGAGGAAGAATCTTGTCTGCACCTTGCTAACTTTGTTAAAACTAAGAATGACTTTTTTCCCTTGCTCCAAGAAATGGAGTTGATGGGAAAGCTGTGTTTTTCCTTTCTAACGCAAGATGGCACTGTTGTTGTTCAACTGTTAGGAAGATTTTGCTTTGGGAAGCTTGCACTGCAGTTCTGAATGAGGCGGGCAGTCATTATTACCCTCCAGTTTCATATTTACATGCAGTGTTGCTGTTACATTCGAAAAGTGTACAGTCAGCTCTGCTAGCACAGGAATTGTCCCTGAAGATTTTGGTAACTTGATAATGCTTGTAGTTACATCAAATTATCACCAGCACCTTGGTGATCACAGTCTTCCCCAGAGAACTTTATTTACACATGTGCATATTTAGAGGGATGAAATATGTTTGCTGCTTTGCCTGTGTGTTTTCCCTGCTTTCAGCTGAGTATCCCTCTTATTGCTATGATCCTACTCAGAGCAAATGTGCTCTCAACAGCGGCCTGGAACTTAATATATATGGATCTGTACAGTGGCTACTGCTCCTATTCATATTGTTGTCTTAAGTTGGAAGTTTGGCTCAATTATTCAAAGTCTGACTATTTATTCTAATGTTTCAGTGTATTAGTCTCTCTATTGTACAGATGCAATTTGAGTCTTTCTATATTTTTTTCTTTGGGGAGAAAAATTTAATTAAAATTTCTTAACACAGTCTATTGAATAAACTTCATAGAACCCAGAAATCTAGACTCCACTGTTCCAGACAGAATTATGACCCACTTACAGGGCAGGCAGGAGATGTCCCATTATGAATTTCTCAAACTGCTGAGTAGTCTTATCTTCCTACATTTTGAAATATACACATGGTCCCACGTTTTCTTCATAAATATAAGAAAGATGAATGTTGTTTATTATGTGAATGAGGGATTTTATTTATTGCCTTATATTAAAAGATTTAAATTATAAATTAGTAAGATGCAAATTTCTAGCAGTAGGATGGAAATGTAATTTATAGATTCCCCCAATATCCTATGGTTGATCAACTATAGTGGATCAGGCTATGATTAATTACTCCTCAGAGAAAATTCTCTGATCACAAATCAGAATTCTTAGACTTGTTTTTACTTTTGAACCTTGATAGAGATTCACATGCAAGAGCCCACCTCCGAATGGAAGCTTGTCACACGCTTCTCAGGTATGCCTGGCAGAATACGTCGCAGGACTTTGATGAGGATGTCAGTCTTCCAAAGAAAATGAAAGAACTCTTTGAAAATGTGGAACCACAAAAGAAACACAGGTAAAAAATTGCAAAGGATTCTTGTTAGAGGATTCTTCCCAGTCTTGGGTTCTCTCACTTTGAGGCAAGCACATTCCTGAGTGTTTTCACTGCTGTTAGCCTCTCTTTCTACCAACATGCACATTTTTGTCTTACATTTTTTATGAGACTACTCATATGAATGTTTGTGGGAAGTTTCTTTCCCCTTAAATTCATTTTGTGCAGTGTAGTACATTTCTTGGTCATCATGGTGTCTTTTCTACTAAACATCCAACTTTGCCTCCAACATAGGGCCTATATATTTGTTGAATGAGTGAGTGGGTGAGTTTGTGAATAAGTGTGTAGTAAAATGCAGTTTCTTCTTTTTAAATTTTTTTTCTGGTTACCACTCAATGAAATTACAGAAAACAATAGTACTTTTTATTATTCCATAATCCTTAGACATTTTTAACATTATAAGCAGTTACTGGAATATGCAACAGCTTGGGCACTTTTAACAGTACTTAATCATGCACATAGTAGGGGCTTCATAGATTTCTTTAGATTAATTTAATTGCCAGCATTTTGATATTTAACATGTTTAACAAGTCTGCTTAATGCTTTGAGATCCTTAAGAGACCCCTTTAGACTGATTTATTAATATATCATTATTTTCCATTATGATATCCTGTGAATTGTCAGGGAAAACTGAAAGGCATGGAGACTATAGATAGTGAATGGAAATGATCATAATTTGAACAGAACTCCTTTGTTTCACTGTTTTCATTCTACATGCTCCTTCTTCTCCTACCTCTTATCTGATTTTCAGTTTTTCCTCTTTAACTAAATTGCTTCTTCAACTGAACTTTTTTCTCTTTGTTGATGAATTTCTTATGTGTTTCCTTGGACAAATATTTATTTCTGTTACAAAATAAACTCAGAATTCTGTTTTTTTGCGTCTGCTTAGAAGTGCAGTGCTAACGTTGCTTTTGTTCTGTGGGATGTGAACCATGGTACAGTTAACACGACTCATAGTGGGGTTCTCACCAGTGCAACTTACCATCTCTGGTGCATCAAATGCTTGGGACATTTTCCTACACTGATGGGAGTTTTCTTTATCTCAGCCATTCTCCAAAGCAGGCCAAATTGCAGAAGGTTTCCCGTCAGCAGTTTGAATACAGAGATGGGCAAATTATAAGCCATGCTGCTCCTCAGCTTGTTTTGGGGTTACAAAGCTCCGACCTCCATTCAGGTACCGAAGTGGTTTTGGTGGAGAAGAAATCTGATGATAATCATCAACGCTGGATACACAAAGAGGACAGCAGGTAAACACATTATATTCAAGGGTTGATATATCAAAAGGTGAATGGGAGCCTAAGAGGTCAGGCATGGTCCCCACAGAGCAAGCAAGGATATTATTGAGGGCTTTGGATTTTCTATTTAATTTGATATTTTCTTATCCTAGCTAAAGAAGAGAGAGAAAAACAATTGCTAGGTAAGCTACATATAATTTATCTGCCATTAGATTCTGATAAGAAATGCTCAATCTGATCTACTGGGTACATAGTTTTACCTGGCCATTGGACTCAAGATGAGACTCTTATCTAAAGTATCTTTAAGATATAAAGCAATAAAATGAGAATTCTAGAAAGGTCCAAATTTTAAAATTTTTTGATACTTTAACTCAATCCCTGTCTTTGCTCAGACATATGTCTTCCTTACTTTATCTATATTTTCCTTCATAAAATAACCAACTGATGTGGCTTCTAATCACACAGTAAAAATTAATTCTTACCTTAGAAAATACATCAGTCTAATTAAATGTCTGGCCTTGGATCCAGATTCAAAAAACTGACAAAAACATATTTCTGAGGCAATTAGGAAAAACCTAAATCAGTTTGGCTATCTGATGATATTCAGTAAGTGTTGGGCTGGGGCTGGGGCTCAGTGGTAGAGTGCTCACCTCACCCGTATGAGGCACTGGGTTCGATCCTCAGCACCACATAAAAATAAATAAATAAAGGTATTGTGTCCAACTACAACAAAAAAAGAAAAAAGAAATTGTTAATAATTTTTTTGGTATAATAATGGTTTAATGCTTATGCTAAAAAAAGTAAGGCAAAGTCTTGGTCAGTTGGTTAGCTATTATAGTATTTAGAGATAAAATTGCAAGTTATTGCAGATTTATTTTAAATATTCTAGTCAAAATTTAAATTTGAAAGTCGAGATGAATGATGAAACCAGCATAGCAGGGTGTTGTTAGTTTCTGGGTGCATGAGGCCATTAAACATTTCTCTTTGTTTTTGTGCACATTTGAACATTTCTTTAATAAGAAAGAAATTAACTCCCTGTTTTGTAGGTAGTTTTGTTTCAAATTTTACCATTAGTGTTAAATTGTGGGGCTTCAGGGGTCTCTTCAAATCACTTGAAATACTGTACAAAGTATATTGTTAGAAATACCAAGCTGCCGCCCAAAATCAAACACATGCTTGGAAGTGGATGAGCAAAGCAAACTTTACTTCTGCCAGAAGGGTGTGCCCTGGCTAGTAAGTGCACTTGGGTGGGCAGTCCACCTGCTTTTATCCCTGATGGGAGAAACCTGGGATTACAATCTGTGTGATTAACTAATTTTAAATTTGGGGCAGGCAAAGGGAAGAGCTATAATTAAAATGAATTGAATCTTCATCCCAATTAAGGCTAAATACTATATTCTGAAAACAGACCACTAAACTTTCTATTTCTCACAGTATTGGTCGTCTGTGCACACTTTTTCTTTCTGGGAGAGCTGTGACTTTCACTGGATTCTTGAAAGATCTGCAATGTTCAAGGCTTATGAATCAGCACTTTGAGAGAAGTTGCACAAACCTCATTCAGCAGGAGGCAGTCTCCAGCCTGGCTCAGGCAGGGAAGGAGCCTGTTCACTTTCTGAAATGAACTAAAACCCTAGCAAGGAACCCTCCGTAGTCTTGCCTTCTTCTTAGAGAAGACTGGGAAGTCAACTATGTGGTCAGATCTTGCGCCTATGTTCCTTTGCCCCATATGCCTGGGTTAAATGGTTTTGCAGTGAGGAGCTAGAATAGCAGTATTTTTCCCACGAGTGGTTTGCTATACAGGAGCAGCACTCATTCTTTCATTTGCAAAGGAATATTAAGGGCAGTGCCTTAGGGGCTGGTGCTTCAGCAAAGAATAAAAGAGATAAAAATTCTTGGCCTTATGGAGTTGACCTCCTGGTGCTATCCCAAGTCTTTATTTTGCAATACGTCTTACTACCTCATCTTTCTGTATTACAGTAGAGATAGAGTTGATTGCTGCCTATCCTGAATTGGAATTTGAGCATTGCTGGTGAATTCAGGTGGACATACATGGGGAATAAGCAATTGACTCTAAGATAAGAGAGAGCCAAACACAGTGAATTTTGGCCCAGAAATAATTGTTCATTGGAAGAGAGCTCAAGTTCCAAATTCTGTTCATTTTTGAGTGATGTAGAGAAAGCAGTGGAAGAAAAAACAGAAAGAAAACTTTGTCTGAGACTCTGAATTGTTGGTCCATAAGCAGCACTACTTTGGAAAAACTCTAACCATGGGTTAGACAAAAGTCCTTTCCAGTTGCTTTCACTTTCCAGAACATTGTATGACATTTCATCTTTAGGCCTTCCCATGTCAAGCCACAAAAGAGAGAGATAGTTGGTGGGAGGGAGATATTAATATTGATGGATTCCTCATCAGAAATTTTGGGTCTAGAGAGAGGACATGGAGCTGTAGGGTGTTGGCCATTGGAATAGGATTTGCTCATGAGTGCATGAATCACCTTCAAGAGACACACAGGGCAGAGGAGGTTTTGCATGATGAGTGTGGGAATGATTTAGGGTAATATGTGTCTTGTGGTAGAAGGCTGTCTGCATAGTGACACTAATTCTGAGCTTTCATCTACATTTTCCCTTGTTATATTGCATTTTTTTCTTTCATGTAATTGAGCATGGGAATCCATTTTTTTCTGATAAGCTAGTGAGGACTTATTATAATATCTTTGCTTATACTACAAGATAGAAACATGTAGAAAATTACATTTAAATTAATAATTTTTTTCTCCTCCATATTTTGCCCAAATAATAAGTCAGCGTCTGGGGAGAAAACTGCCCATCCGGAATTTGTATAAATAGAAGGTAAAGTAACACAGTACCAGCATAATGGAAGGTACCAGTGACTATCACTGTGCCAAGAATTTTGTGCCTTTAGACTTTCCATTCAGTCTTTCAGGTCTTGAATTACTTTTTTTTTTTATTTTGGCCACCTATTTCAAAGAGAAGATATGTAGGAAGTCTGCTATCTTATGCAATTATCAGTAAAACCTCTTATGTGAGACTATGACTGAGAACCAAGCCTTGAGGGCATAACACACAATCTAGCCTGGCAGTGCCAGAAACCAGTGAGGAGACCCTGGAAGGTGATAGGGAGAGTGCTGAGACACACTCGTTTTGTTTCCAGCCACACAGAAGAATGGTCTGGTCAGTTTTGCAGATAATATGGCATCTTTCCTTCATTTTCAACTGTCACAAAATCTAAATCAATCATTTAGTCTCTAAAGGGAAATATGAGAAAATCCTCAAGGACAAAAGTCCCCTCAGTGGGACTTAAAATTACATAAGAGAAAATGCAGTGCTGTGGAATTTGGAGCTGAAAGAGATCTTTGAGTCTTGATTACAAAATAAGATAAACTAACTGATGGATAAAGAGATTAAGTGACCTGTCTGCACTCGTACCATGGGTTAATGAAAGAGGCCTTCGAATCATGCTAGATATTGCTGAGCTATAGAGCGTTTCCTCCTTGCTGTCTAGCACACAGGAGGCTTTATGTGGAAATCTATAAGCTCAGCTTCCTGCAAAATAGTACTTCTCTGCTGTGGACAAGTGCCCGTCAACCGTACTATTCAAAAAGGAAAAGAAAACCTAACATTATAACGGCTGAGCATGGCATCAAAGCATGAGAGAGACAGTGGCATTTACTCTAGGAAGCAAAAATATCAAGAGTGAGCTCATTAGTCTTGACACCTCAGTAGGTCATTAAAGGAAATAAACAATCACACATTTATTTGAATAATACTACTGAGTGCCAATAAAAATGCAAGATGCAAACTGCGCAACCTTTTGAGGCCCCAGAGATGAACAGTGTAAAATTCTAGCTCTCTAACAGTGTTCAGTCTTCACAGATGCTGAAAAGGTTTTTTATAAAATTGAATATCCATTTTGGATTTAAAATAATACCTCATCAACCAACATTGGAGGAACAAATATACTATTTGATTAATAGTGGTTGTCATTTAGGACTATGAGTGAATTTTAAAGCTCTATTATGGGTTTTACTGTATTTTCCAGTACTTTATAAATTCTTTGTGATGAAAATGTATTGTTTTATGTTAAGAAACTTAAATTTGATTTTGGAATTCTTTAAGTCTTTAAAGGAAGACTATATTACTCTTTTAATGGATCCTTTTGTACCTTATTCCCTTTATTCCCATATCATTACATTTTATATTCAGCATGAGTTATAATTTCCACAATAGGAATGACCATTGGTCTCTAATGTAACCATATTGGCAGCAATAAAGAATTGGCTTTCTATATACATAAAAGCCTTGAATGTTTCATTTATTTGTGTTTTAAGTGTTGTGAGGAAGTGAATTCAAAAATTTAATTCAATAATTTTCATTTTGCTTTACCATTAAACAGATTTTATGTTAGCTCCAATTAAGATCACTTTTAAAATTCAACATGTATTTTGGACTTTTAGGAAAAGTGCCTTTGGACAAAAGAACTTAAGGGAAAAATATAAAGGAGCCACAACCATTAATAATAATATCTAATATTTAGATGTTAAATACCTTGTAGTATTCTATGCATTTTTATTTGCATCAACTCATTTAATTTCCACCTTATGCACCATCATCCCATATTACAGATGAAGAAACTGAAGCAAATAATTGTTAAAGCTATACAGCTACCAAGAGGTTGGTACTCATGGTACTCATGATTCATACCTAGACAGTGTTGTTCCAGAACCCACTAAACTATTCTCACTGCATCTCAATAATTGAAAAATGGACAAGGAAGTGGGTGTATCCGTTTGGATATAATCTCAAGATAGAAATCACACAGTGATTTAAATAAGAAAAGTAGGATATAAAGGATTATTAAACTATGACAAAGCATTAACTATTATATATCACATACACAAATATTATGTTGGCTATTGAAATTTGTTTGCTCTGATAAGCTGGTAAGTTCTGGAGAACCTTGGATTATACTATGTAGCAGCAAAGTGTAGAAAATTCCATTATATTAATCATATTTTCCCAGGCATTAAGTTCAAATATATGTATATCTTATGTATAATACATATTGTAATATGTAATATTTTATATACTATTACTCTTTTAGCCCTAGAGTTTATATACATATATGTATACATATATAGTAATACTATAGAAATTCTAGGAGATAAAGTATACATTACATTCTCCAACTCCCACCCCCTTTTTTTTTTGGTACTGGGGATTGAACTCAGAGGCACTCGGCCACCGAGCCACATCCCCAGCCCTATTTTGTATTTAATTTAGAGAAAGGGTCTCACTGAGTTGCTTAGCACGCGCTTTTGCTGAGGCTGGCTTTGAACTCGTGATCTTCCTGCTTCAGCCTCCCAAGCCACTGGGATTACAGATGTACACCACAGCACCCAGCAAGGTGCCTTGTTAACACAGATCACAGTGAATAAAACCTCATAGAGATACAAATGTAATACCTTAATTGGTTTAACAAAATTTTAGATATAGATGTCTATATTATATAATATACACATTACGCTAGGCTGAGGGAGAATACACAAGAAAGAATAAGTTTGGGATTGGGACCCCCTCTAAGGTTGGGGTTTAGACTTCATTGTAAGAGGCATATAGTATAGCACTCTTCCATGGATGGCAGAGAAATTGTACTGTGTGCCTGGCTATAGTTGGTGTGTGGTTGCTAGGTAAACAGGAAGCAATCCTCTGAAACATATGTGGGAGTGTGACTAGTTGCTGGGCACACTGGCATGCGAAGGGGATAAGGATGCTGGTTAACAAGAGGCTCTGAAGCATGTGGCACCCATGTTGGGAGGGCAATGAGCAGGTTGTCACCAAGCAGGCCAGGGTCCTCAGAGTGTGGGCAGACTGTGATAGGGGCACCTGGTTGGAGCACAGCATCGCTGGATGCTTTCACTTCCATGAGCTGACCTCACGCAGCAGACATAAAGAGCGTCGGAGAGCCCCTTCTTCTTGCTGTGTTCTTCTAGCATTCTTTACCAAGAAAGTTTAATATCATGCTAACCATAAGGGAGAAATGAAGCATTATCTGTTATCCCGGAGCATGTTTGGAGCTGAGGGGCAATACATTGATAAGTGGCACAGAAGGAACCTAATCTGGTCACACTGCTTGATAATGTGACTAATCCTATTTTCTTAAGGACTTTTCACCTGGCAAGTAACCCTGACCTTGTGCTGGCAGTGTCTATGACCAAGGCTAGAAATGAAGCCTGTGGCTATCCAGTTATTGTTCAGGTAAGATATGTATAGACTAACAAGTAATCATGGCCCTTTAATTAAATTGAAATAAATGTCTCCTTTTTGTGGAGCTAAAGAATGGCTGTCATAGAATGCTACCTTGAATGTCATTGTTAAAATATTTATAATAGTCTGCCTAGATTTCAAATTGAGCATGTTCATGTATCTCTTAATTTAGTTTAATCCAACAGATGGTGATTGTGAGCTGCCGCATGTCAGGAACTGTGCTAGTTACTGAAATCAAATCCAAAGGCAAGCATGAGAAATGGTCTCAACAAAATTCACAGAATTTACTGTTAAGTAAACACGGCAGTCAAGTGGTGGATGCAATCAAGTGAATGGCTATTAGACGCACCCAAATTCAGTCATCAAGGACATATGCAAGGCCCCCTTTCGTGGTAACTGGAGAAAGACAACCCGTACAGGGAGGTCTTTTGGGGACCTGAGCTCATAGTGGTAGTCTACCAAGCAATCCATTTGCATTATACTTTTAATACAGTTTTGCAAATGCTTACAACAGCCAAACAATTTTTGGAGACTCCAGAGAAGTCTGGCTTCATTTGAATTTTGGACAAAGATCTAGGAAGTGCTTTTTGCACGTTTTCCTGTCATTCCCACTTATAACCAAAAACATTTGTAAATGGATCTGTGTTTTCCATTCTAGGAGGAGAGAGAGTTTAGGAGCATTCCTGCTCTGCATTTGCTTTCTGTCATCTCCACAGTATTTTCCATCTTTTTGTTGGGCAGAATGTATTGTCTCCAAATAACATTTTATTCCATGTGTTTAAAAGCAGTGAAGCAACTTGTTTTGCAGGCCCTGAATCCAAAACTGGGACAGCAATCTGGACAAATACCAAAACTTAATTAAATCTTCTGTCCTGATGTTAAATAAAGACTAAAAATTTAGAGACAGTATACATCACTTTACATTATTTTATGTCAGATGCCTATTTAGTACATATCAAAGATAAAATCTCATGCAGGTGCAAATTGAGTGCCTTCCTTAGTTTCATAAAATTGTAGGTATGGATGTCTTCCCCTGAGGTTCTCATTTTATATGAAAAAAACTTAATCCCAAGATAATTTGAGTCACCTTTCAAAACTTTTTTCTTTGTTAACATTTCATTTTTATTTATTGAAGCAATCAGTTTATGAAAAAATATTCAAGTTCAAATAAAGTAATAAAAATTAGGCACGTTAGATTAATGCTACTAGATCTTTTCTTGTTCCTTGAAAATATAGCCTTTGGTTTTCCAGATCTCTGGGAGAGGCTTTGTTTTCTGACCCATAAAATCAGTTCTTAAGACTCATTTATTTTCTTCTTTACTGTTAATCTGTTACTTGGTAATGTAAGTGTTACAAATCATAAAATTCCTTGAGGTGTCATGATATGATTAGTTATTAGCATTAATTCACTTTTTAAAATTCTGTTAAATTGAAACATGTTTTACTTATACTTGAGCCAACTTTTATAATTAAAGTAAATATCTTGTTTCTATTATTATTTAACTTTACTTAGAAAAAGTCTCCTTTAATATCAATGAAATGTAAACTAAAATATCAATAAGGTACTATTTTTTCATTTATTAAGCTCATATTTAGGGAAGATATTGCCCTTTTGGGACAAGAATATGAGAAAAGTGGGTTATTTCATATACATATACAACTATTAGAAATATAAAGTAAAATGATCTCTCCAGAAAGAATTTCGATGTGATAGATCATAATCTTGAAAAATGATCAGAGTTTGTACTTGGGATGCAAGTCAGTGGTACAGTACTTACCTAGCATGTGTGAGATGTGCATTCAATCCCTAATACTGCAAAAAATAGAATCTTCTTTTATCAGCAACTCTTCCAGAAATTTGTCCTAGAGAAATTATCATAGGGGCTTGGGCTGGAGCTCAGTGGTAGAGTGCTTACCTAGCATGCATGAGGCACTGGGTTCAATTCTCAGCACCACATAAAATAAATAAATAAATAAACAATTAAAATAAAGGCATTCTGTCCATCAACAACTACAAAAAAAGAAATTATCATAGATTTATACAAAGATTTATTTACAGTACTGTGTGTTGTTCTCTGTGTATTGCAGGGAAATTTTAAGAAACAATATACATGTTTTAACTATTGGAGATTAGCAAAATAAAATATTCCTGAAATTAAATGATAATATCTTTTTAAAATGTTGAAAAAAGGTTCATGGAATATTGTTAATTGAAAACAAATGCAATTCAAATTGTATGTATTGTGTGATTCTATTTTTGTAAATCAAAGAATGCATATTTATAAGTATAAAATCTATGCATATAATTGCCAAAAATCAACTATATTTATCACTGCATAATGTATTTATGAATAATTATTTGTAATTTTGGAATTTATGCAATGAAATATGACTGCTATAGCTATCTGATAAACTCACCTGTCTATTTGACACAATAGTTTCTCTCTTTTTTTTTTCCAGAAATATAAGCCATACAACAATGGAACTGCCCATCAAAAGTGGCAGTACTTGGAAAATTTGAAAACATTTATGGCCTTTTATAGCACTACTTTGGATAAGGAAATCACATTGGCAAATTTTGCTGGTATTTGTACATCTTCTGTCATTAAAGGGGAAAACATTGATCAACCAGTAAGTGGTTCTGTCTTCCCAAAGAAAAAAAAGATGGTAAAATAAGATAATTTAATAAAGTGATTTTTTCCCCTTAGAAAAGCTATGTTCATAAAATTTGATCACTAATTTCCCACAGGACTGATAATTGAACCCAGGGCCTCATGTGCTAGGCAAGTGTTCTACCCCTGAGCTACATCACCAGTTCTGATCTTGGTTAGAGACAATTTCTGATATTGCATTGAAGCCAGGGCTTATATATGCGAGGCAAGCACTCTAATTCTGAGCTACCTCTCCAGCCCCTTGAACACTGACTTTTCTTTAAAAAAATGGTTCTTTTTAGTTATTCATGATATCAGAATCCATTTTGATATAATTCTACAAGCATGGAATATATCTTATCCATTTTAGCATCCCATTCTTTTTTATTAATTAACTTATTCATTTAAATTAGGTATATATGACAGCAGAATGCATTTTGATTCGTTGTATACAATTTCAGCACAACTTTTCATTTCTCTGGTTGTACACAATGTAGTGTCACACCATATGTGCAGTCAGACATGTACCTAGAGTAATGATGTCCATCTCATTCTACCATCTTTCCGGCTCCCATGGCCCTTCCTCACCCCTCCCTCCCCTTTGCCCAATCAAAGTTCTTCCATTTTCTCCCATGTCCCCCTCACCCCATTATGGATCAGCATCCATTATCAGAGAGAACATCAGGCCTTTGGTTTTTTAGTATTGGCTTACTTTGCTTGGCATGATATTCTCCAGCTCCATCCATTTACTTGCAAATGGCATAATTTTATTCTCTTTTAATGCTGAGTAATATTCCATTGTGTATATACACCACAGTTTCTTTATCCATACATCTATTGACGGGCATCTAGGTTGCTTCCACAGTTTAGCTATTGTGAATTGAGCTGCTATAAACATTGATGTATGCTGATTTTAAGTCCTTTGGATATAGACCGAAGACAGGGATAGCTGGGTCAAATGGTGGTTCCATTTCAAGTTTCCTAAGGAATCTCTATACTTCTTTCCAGATTGGTTGTACCAATTTGCAGTCCCACCAGCAATATATGAGTATGTCTTTTTTTCCATATCCTCATCAACATTTATTGTTGTCTGTATTCTTGATAACTCTCATTCTGACTGGCATGAGATGAAATCTTAGTTTTGATTTGCATTTCTG